GCAGCTCTTTTTATAAAAAATGCAAAAACGAAATTGTGTTTTTTTTCATCAGGTTTACTGGAAAAACCATGTTATGTGCTCGACTGAAAAGTATATCATACATCTGAAGCTTTCACATTTCGTGGATCTTCAATTAATGATCTGAATTCTATCGTACTTAGCAATTGAAAACTCATTGCGTACTATTTACTAGACATGGTCGTCTCCAAACGATGAATTGTAAACCTTACAAAAAAATTCAGCAAAGCCCAAAATATATAATTCAATGCGCCTTCATTCTAATGTTCCAATGTTCAAAACCGCAGTTCTCTACCTTGCTTCGATTAAAAGTTCTTCAAAAAGATACTCCCTCGTATTTTTTCAAAATTTTTATCGGTACAACCAGCACATAGCCGACCAGAATAAGTTCTATAGATACTTTAATATCATGATGTTATTTGAAGTATAATCAAATAACATAGAAAGATAGAGCTTCTTTTTCTCTATCAGACTGTATAGAAAAGAAATTCTTAGAAGACCACTATGTACTATAAAAGTGTCACTGCCACTACTTTTGGTATGTCCTAAGTATATTGCTGCTCCATCGATTATCAGAGAGGTACAACGAAAGGAGTTTGAAGACCAAGAACAGAATGATCGATTATTTTATGGCGAGCATTCAGATGGCTCGTCGTCTATTGGCAGAAATTTTTGGAACAGCCTTGTTTATCTCACTCTTGAATCCGCTGCATGTGCAAACAAACATCGTAGTGAAAGTGGCCTCTTGAGACTTTCGTTCATCAAACATACATGTCGTGTGACCTATCTTAAAATGACAGAGATGCTTAGAAACTTATGATGTTGGTAGTTATGCAATTCGAGATTGAAAAATCCTATTTTTAGATTCCTTGAAAAATATTGTTGTGCATCTATTTATTGGGCTGGTGAAGAAAAGTTCATTGTTTCAACTGTTGTTCAATTAATTTGATACAGTGACGAAGATCATCTTCTTCTCCGATTAAAGAACCGATTTTTTGAGTATTCTTGCGATAAACTAAATGATTGTATAAAAAATCGACAAGAGCATTGCTCAAGTTACTCGCGTTCATCTCCCAAGCAGGAATCGTTTTCGGACCCAAGCGATGAATGAAAACTCGGTCGGCATTAAGGGTATCCCCCTCTTTTTGACGTTTTCCAGAACTCGAATACGATAAGGCCGATCGAGCTGAAATTTTTACCATAGATAGACCACCTAAATTGATTAGACACACGTTTGAGGAAAAAATTTTTGAAAGCCTGCTTCTCGGTTTTTGACATCCCTCATTGTGATCCGGGAAACCACCCCTTAACTTTGTTCGATCGAACTGAAAATTTCTTTACAAATAGCCACAGACATTTCCCAGAGGTAATTTTGTTCGTTTTGAAAAATCTCATTTACTTCTTTTTAGTGAAAAAATTACCTTGTGGTTTTCTGGAGAACTCCGCTCGATGTCTGAAAACCCCTATAAATCCTGTTAGAAATATCAAAAGCAAAAACGCTTGATTTTACCTCTGGAGGATACCTTGAAGTGTCTTTGGTAAAATTTTCAGCCCGATTTGACAAAGTTAAGGGGAGGTTTCTGGTGTCACAATGGAAGGATTTCCACAAAAACATAGTTTTGAGAAAAATGCAAAGTTTTGGAAGTTTTTCTCATCATATAAAAAAATTTTTTTTCAATTTTCGTCAAACAAGAGGGGATACCCTTAAGTAATATTATGAGCATGATTTTGGGAAGTCATTACGAATTCACCTACGTTTAGTAAAAAAAGGGTTTTCTTAATTTTTATCGCTTCTTTAATGGTATGAATGGCACTGATGTGTAAATATGCTACCCTTAGCAGCATTCACACCCTCACCCTCAATTAAATGCATTTTTTTCCTCGCTTTTTCTCCTTTTCCTGTCTACAATCAAGCACGAATGTGGCGACTACCTTGCCTCCTCACGTTGTTCTTTCTTTTTCTTTACCATAACCCTTTCACGGCTGACGATACATAAATGCACCACTTCTTATTGTTCTGTTCTCACTCGCCGAAAAGACGCTTGTGGAAGAATTAATGCAATACATTCACAGTTTTTAGATCGTTAAATCACTTAAAGAACGTGGAACAGATTCTTCATACTTACAAAATATTCTTATACTTTACCAAAATGTCTAAAACTCATCCTGGCTCCTATTCTGGAAATCCTGCATTCACCTATACTCTCTATATACCGTCATCTCCCTCATCCGTCACTACTCTCTTTCCTCTCGCAGTTCTCATTCATGGCTTATCTCGTAAAACAGAAGC